GGGTGCAGGGCCCAAGCACTTGGGCCATCCTCCACTGCACTCCCTGGCCACAGCAGAGAGCTGGCCTGGAAGAGGGACAACCGGGACAGAATCCGGTGTCCCGACCGGGACTAGAACCTGGTGTGCTGGCGCTGCTAGGTGGAGGATTAGCCTATTGAGCCGCGGTGCCGGCCTAGATCCTTTACTTTTTTTAAGATTTATTTTATTTGAGAGGTAGAGTTACAGATAGTGAGAAGGAGAGACAGTTTCCTAAAATGTTTTTCTTCAGATCCTATCCCTAAAAGGAGCAGACAGAAGTGCTAAAAGTATTTGTTTTAATTAAATTAACAGCAATTGCCTTACCAGCTTTCTGGGGCCCTGGCCATGGCTGGTATAATTTTTGTTCATTTATTTCATATAATTTATTCCATAATTTTTAAAGATATCTGACAACAGTCAGTGAAAAACTGTTCTTCATTGTGAAATATACCTTGAGATAATCCTTGAAAAGGGAATAATTTATTATTGCTTTCATAGAAACCGCTTTGTATAGTTACTAGTCAAGATTTGTGAGCCAGGGCCGGCTCTGTGGCTTAGTGGATAAAGCCTCCGTCTGCAGTGCTGGCATCCCATATGGGCACCGATTTGAGTCCTGGCTGTTCCACTTCCGACCCAGCTCTCTACTATGGCCTGGGAAAGCAGTAGAAGATGGCTCAGGTTCTTGGGTCCCTGCACCCACGTGGGAAACCTGGAGGAGGCTCCTGGCTCCTGGCTTTGGATTGGCGTAGCTCTGGCCATTGCAGCCATCTGGGGAGTCAGCCATCTGGGGATTGACCCATCGGATGGAAGACCTCTCTTTCTTACTCTCTACCTCTGCCTCTCTGTAACTCTGCCTTTCAAGTAAATAAATAAATTTTTAAAAAAATTTTTGTGCCACCTCCTGACCCAAATATTTGGATTCAAATTAACAACTCTTGGTGGCAACAATATCAAGTTGATATCAGATCTGTGCAATTCAGAAATAAAGCTTCCTCTCTTTTAGAAAGCCATAGTCATTTTATTGATTAAGGGATTTATTTTTAATGAATTTTGTTCCATCTACTGAAAGCTACTAGAAAGGAAAATCAGCATGTGCTTTCATGCTATGATTTGTTCAGTAAACACTTATCTAATATATACCACATTTTATCTGAAATTTTTATCCTAAAAAAACCCTGCTAATATGCTTCATAAAATACAATATATATTTTTAGAGCATTATTGAGGCTGGCGCCGCAGCTCACTAGGCTAATCCTCCACCTTGCGGCACCGGCACACCGGGTTCTAGTCCCGGTCAGGGCACCGGATTCTGTCCCGGTTGTCCCTCTTCCAGGCCAGCTCTCTGCTGTGGCCAGGGAGTGCAGTGGAGGATGGCCCAAGTGCTTGGGCCCTGCACCCCATGGGAGACCAGGAGAAGCACCTGGCTTCTGCCATCGGATCAGCGCGGTGCGCCGGCTGCAGCGCGCCGGCCGTGGCGGCCATTGGAGGGTGAACCAATGGCAAAGGAAGACCTTTCTCTCTGTCTCTCTCTCACTGTCCACTCTGCCTGTCAAAAAAAATAAATAAATAAAATAAAAAATAAAAAATAAATTAAAGCATTATTGAAAATCATAAGGCAAAATTATATGTGACTGAGTCAGTTTCACTAACATTAACATTTAAGTAAAAGGAGTCTTATTGGAGGACCAACTGCTTTTTTTTTCCACCCATAGTCTCTTCAGTTCCTATTCATTTCCTCTCCCTGAAAATAAAATTTTGTCCACCTGTCAACATAGATCTTTATTATTATTATTATTGCCCTAAGTAGGGGAAAACACTTCAAAATTTTCATCTTTCATAACTGAATTGTTGGAAGTTCAGATTTATACACTGAGGGGAAAACTTGTAAGAAAAGTTTTCTGTTATTTTTTTAAAAAAGTCATTTATCTCTGTTAAAGTAAGAGGGTTTTTTTCTCCTTCTAATCTAAAGCTTCAGGAAAATTTCAACATGGTTTGCAAAGGGATTTAGTAGTTTGGTTTTCATTAACACAGTAACAAACATACATAAATATTGGCAGACCTATCAACCCCCAAACGGTTTCTGTGATATAAGAAACTAGTATTTGACCATTAGTGTGGCCATGATAATTTCATTAGTGTGTCTTCTTTACACACTTTCTCCAGTGACGCAAATACAGACGTGATTTTTTGGAACATCAGACTTATGGCTGCCTCCTCTCTTCTTCATTACTTATGTTGGACAAACTGCCATTACGACTTGCCAAAAAAAACCCCACAGTGCAATAGACTTTAGTTTTGAGGTCTGTCATGTCCTCCTTAGACCACCAGTAGCTTTGTCTCTTGACGATTAGAAATTGGACACTTCTTTTTGATGTTTAACAAACCAGACTCTGTTACTTGACCTTTAAGGAAGACTATAAGAAAACAAGTTTTCTAAGCAATATCACTGGAAATATAATGGCAAATCCATTTGGAACACATCCTTTGGAAAGTAGGCCAAATTATGTTTTATCAAGCTTTATGAGATTTGTATTAAGGTGTGAAATTAAGTTCCTAATAGAATGAGATAGTAGAAATTGTGTGTATTTTCCTTGAGCAAATCCATATACAGAAATTAGTACAGATTCACTGATTTTTTAGTATGTACTCTTATGTTATAACCAGTTCCAAGAAACTAAGAATAAAATAATGAAATTTCTAAATACAGATTTCTGTTCTTCTACGATAACCAGTTCCATGAACTGCATGAAATTTTAGAATAGGAAATTTATCCAGTTCCACCAGCTTCACTGTTCCCCATTCTTTCCTTCTCATCTACCACCTTCCTGCACCTCCACCCTATATACACTTTCCTTGCTATATTTTAGGAAGCATTTCTTTTGCAGTCTGACTTCTCCTCACTTCTGCTCTTGTGCTTTGTAACTTATTTGTATAACCTTTCCATTGGTGGCCTGTGGATTATACTAAAGTATAATAATATATCACATAGCTGACTTTGCAGAAAGACCTTATACCAGCAAACCATAGTTAACAGCAACTGAGAGGTCTTTTTAAAGAAATTTGATTTAATTCTGCTCTTTTTCCTTTTTCTTCGTATTACTTGAGTGTTTTATGAAGTGTTCCAAACTCTTTTCCTTCTAGTATCCTAAATAATTGAATTGCATTTAATTACCTAGTTAAATGCCCGATCTTGTTGTTAAGTTAGCTTCCTTCTCTATTAGCAAAATTAAATAAATTTATCAGCTAAATTTTTTTAAACTATTTCTGTCAAGTCTGAGTTCTGGGTAATATATTTAAAAAGGAGTACTAGTTTTAATCTCATGTCTTACTGTATTCCAGACCTAAGAGTACATCCACATTGGATACTCTTAAGCAAGGACTTAAATTCAGATATTATTAGGAAATATAAAATAAAAATCAACATTTTGGGGGAAGAAAATTATCTGGACAACTATATACTTGTTCTTAAAAAAATAGGCTTGAGATAAGCTTATGCATGATAAGTTGTTTAAAGATTTATGTTTGTTCCTAAGTCTTTCTGTTTTTTGTTTTAAGTAAACTCCTGTTTCATCTTTACAACTCAGATCAAAGGTCACCTCACTGAGCCTTTAAGTTGAATGTGGCTTTCCCTGAATCCAGTACTGCTCATTATGCAGGTGTATTATAAATTTAATGATTGTACTATTGTGTACTCCTGGGGACAAGGGATGAGTATGTCTTTAATTCTGGGCCATGGAGCACTGTGCTGCCACAGGAATATTAAACACTGAGATATGCATTGTGGTTTCAGAATTCTATCACTAACCACATTTACTGACCATCCAGTAGGTTCCCTGAGACAGAGAGCATGTAAGGGATAATTATAGAAGAAAGCAGAGCAACGTTTGTGGATGGATGCCTAGAAACTTGAGGGTAGGGCTGTCAGAAATTGTACTGGACCATGAAAGCTCCTAAGGGGTCTCTCTCCATCTTAAGTTTAAAAAATGAATGTCCCAACTGGCTAGTGACATGGGAAGACTGAAGAGCAGAGTGTGGAACAGCAGTGGAGAGGTGACTGGGCATTTTTAGCTGGCAGACTTGACCCAGTTTCCCTCTTCTGCCACATGCGACGCAGAGATGTGAGGAAGAGAACCTGTCCGGTGATATCATCAAGGCCCTCAAATCCACCACATCTCACTAGTGCTCCTTATCCTTGGGAATGGTGTGCAGAGGGAGAGTTGGCAGATTTGATTATGTCTCCACTCCTGAGAGCTTTACCAAATGAGCGTTCAGTGTTTATTTAGTCATCAAATCAGTTTCCTTTTCAAGTAAATTTGTATTTATTGACCTACGCTTTTCTTATGTTTTTATATTCTTAACTAGATCTCTAAAATTCACAAATTATCAGTATTTTTGCTATTTATACACTTCTAGAATTATCATTACTTAGTGTTTGTGTTGGTGTTGGGAAGATATATAATATAGTCCTAGGAGAAAGAATTCTTTGAATTCTTAAATTCATTTGACCTCTGTGCCTGAGGTGTCCAGATAGAGTTGGATGATTTGTCTAAAGAAAGAACGTTAAGGTAACTAACCATTATTTTTTTAAAGACTCTGAAATCTATCTTTATTTGAAAAAAGTTTTTCATATAGTTAAATAATCTTTGTGTTGCTCCAGCCAGTGTTTGATCATTTGGCATTGTTGTTTTCCCCCTTTGGGTGATATGAGAGTGAGAATATGATCTCTGCTTTCTAACCCTCAGAATTACTAATGAATAAGCCTCAGTAATTTAATTTGGGCTTCTGTGGTATTGGATAACACTGATTCCATTAAGTCAGTGTAAAATATGTGCCTTAATGTGTTCTTCAGTGGCTATGTGCATAGTAATGTAAACTAAGAATTATTTTAAGTAATGAGATATCTAAATTTCTTATTTTAGTTTCTATATAGAAACATTTAATGGGCCATTTTTAATGGTTATTGTCTTGTGTCTTTTGCTTAGGGTGTTCCAGTGATGGCAATAAGAAACAAAATGATATCTGAAGGTCTAGATCCAGATCTTCTTGAGTAAGTAATTCTAATATAATGACATTTCTGTCAAGATATTAAATTTATCAGCATTTTTTCCTATATAGTGTTTTATGGTTGAAGAAACTATTTTTGTAGAGTCCCTGCTATGTTACAAAAAAGGGGGGAGGGGTCCTATGCTAACGAAACCAGCCTTTGCACATTTTAGGAGCATTTTTTTTAAAGATTTATTTATTTACTTGAAAGAGTTACAGAGAGAGGGGGAGAGACAGAGAGAGAGAGAGAATGAGATATCTTCCATCTGCTGGTTCAATCCCCAGATAACCACAACTGCCAATACTGGGTTAGGCTGGAGCCAGGAGCCAGGAACTTCTACTGGGTCTCCCACATGGGTGGTAGGGGCCCAACCACTTTGGATATCTTCTGCTTTTCCCAGGCCATTAGCAGGGAACTGGATTGGAAGTGGAGCAGGTGGGACATGAACTAGTGCCCATGTGGAATGCCGGCATCACAGGTAGCTTTGCCTACTATGCCACAATGGATCAAAGTATATCTAGATATCTAAAGGAACTGAAATTTGATGACAGGTTTTTATGTTGGTTTTTAAAAATTTTTATTTAGTTATTTATTTAAGAGACAAATAGAGGCAACAGCTTCATCTGCTGGTTTACTCCCCAAATGCCCACAACAGCCTGAGCATGGGGCCTGGTAGAGAAGCCAGGAACTCAGTACAGGATCCCCATACATCAGTGGTGGCAGAGATCCAGCCACTTGAGCCATTACCTGATGGCTCTCAGGGTGCACAGTACCAGGAAGCTGTAGTTAGGAGAACAGCCAGCACTAGAACCCAGGCATTTTCATGTGGAATGTGGGCATGGCACGTGGCATCTTAACCACTAGGCCAGGTACCTCTCACAGGTTGTTTTTGTTATTTCTTTCTTTCTTTTCCTGCTACATTTTTCTTGTGTGGTGTTTTGTTGTTGGATGAGAGAGAGTTATTACCTACCATCAAAGATCCTTAGTGTGTAGGAAATTTATTCTAAAATGATCTAGGTGGAGCCAGAATGAGAAATAAATAGGATAAAGTCACCCTAAGTGCACATTAATGGTTATTATTAAACTAAGTACTAGTTTGTGTACATTTTATAAAATATTTTTTGAGAAATGCTAAAAAATTATGGTTCAGAAATTTGAGAATCATTCATTCCATCGGAACAAACCTGGCTAACATAGTTCATCCTGGATAAAATGTATCTTAATGAATTCTTCCAAACTATTCAATTTTACAAGTATCTAGATTCTTAATAAAGAATGTTTCTGGAACTGGTGATGTGGTGTAACGGGTAAAGCCAGCCCCTGCATTACTACCAGTTCGAGTCCCTGCTGTTCCACTTCCAATCCAGCTCTCTGCTTGGCCTGGTAATGCAGTAGAAGATGGCCCAAGTCCTTGAGCCCCTGAACCTGCTTGGGAGACCCAGAAGAAACTCCTGGTTTCTGACTTCAGAGCAGCCCAGCTTAGGCCATTGTGGCCATTTGAGGAGTGAACCAGTGGATGGAAGCTCTCTCTCTCTGCCTCTTCTTTTCTGTAACTCCGCCTTTCAAATAAATAATTAAATCTTTAAAAAAAAAAAAAAAAGATTTCCATTTTGGGATTTTTAGTTCCCTCCAACGTATTTAGGGTGTTATAGGCATTATACTGTACTAACAGCATGCTTTGAAATTTTTCTTAGCTCTCAACCCTTTAAGAAAATGTGGACATTTCAGAGGTGAAATGCCACAGAAGTTTTTCTCATTTTTGTCTTCCAAAATACAAAATTTGTGAATTTTTAATGTTTGTATGAACAAATTTTCCAGCATATATCTATATTTAATATATATACAAGTAGCAAACAGCTCAAGTGCAATGGCATAGCTTGGTAATTTGAAATAAAGTATCTCTGGGACATTTGGCATTTGTTTTGGAAATTGTTTCTGACACATGCTTTAAAATTAGATGGATTTTGACATAATTGAATGTGAATTGAGCATATGGATCCAATCCATCTTAATAGTCATTGGAATATATGTTATTAATATATTATGACCTCATTTTTGCTTCTGGAAATACACAGTATACCTTATATAATAACAGAGCTAATATGATCTTTAAAATGATATTTGTGTGTAGAGAAAATGTAATAAATGGAAAATCAGCACCCTAATGAGTCAACATATCCTGGATATCCAATCCTGTTACCCCTACTATGTCAATCACTATGATTTTCTTATTTTTAGTATCTTTCATTTCTGACCACATGCCTCCATACTCATTGCTAATTAGTTCAGGTCCTCATCATTTCTCACCTGAATTATGATAGCAGCCCGATTGTTTTCCTGCTGTCTTTCTTTTTTTTCTTTCTTTCTTTCTTTTTTTTTTTTTTTTTTGGACAGCTTTTTTTTGACAGGCAGAGTGGACAGTGAGAGAGAGAGACACACAGAGAAAGGTCTTCCTTTTCCGTTGGTTCAGCCCCCAATGGCCGCTGTGGCCGGCGTCTACAGCCAGTGCACCGTACTGATCCGAAGGCAGGAGCCAGGTGCTTCTCCTGGTCTCCCATGGGGTGCAGGGCCCAAGCACCTGGGCCATCCTCCACTGCACTCCCGGGACACAGCAGAGAGCTGGTCTGGAAGAGGAGCAACTGGGACAGAATCCGGCGCCCTGACCGGGACTAGAACCCGGTGTGCCGGCGCCGCAGGCGGAGGATTAGCCTATTGAGCCACGGCACCGGCCCCTGCTGTCTTTTGAGGCATTCATTGCAGCCTGTGGCTTGGTTCCTACCTTAGACTTGCTTCAGATCTTCCTGTGATTCTCTACTTCCTGTAACATGTAGTCTAACATCTTAGCAGTGTGCATGAATGCTTTTATTGTTAAGACTCAGATTCTCGAACTTCAGCTTTTGCCACTCTTCTAGAACAGCCCATGTTATACAGTCATAGTAAATTGCTTGCAGCTCCCTCGGCCTCTCTGTGGACAGGATATCATTCCCTACTGGTGTCTTTAAATGTTTTCTTTCCTTTTTGTGGAGTTCTCTTCCCCTCAACTCGTTGGCCTGGCCAATTTTTTATTCTCCAAGACACTGTTCAGTATAAGATGTTCATGGGTGACTATCAGGAGAAAATCCCAAGCATCCCATGACTCTGGTGTATCTCACTTAGCAAGTTTGAGGGTATGTCATTGTCTATAAATGTTGAGAAACATTCCATTGTGAGGGGATGCCAAGTTTTAGTGTAGAATTCCCGTAACAGTTAACATTGTCTTACAGAAAAGCTGCTCCCCAGCCACAGCCTGGAGCCTGAATTCCAATCCATTACCTCATGAGTACATGCCATTGGTTACCAGGGGCACTGGTTAGAGTGGAGGTGACTCACTGAAACCTATCACCACTAATAGCAAAATAGTTCCAAATACATTTAGCAGGATATGATAAGTGGAATAAACCGCCTTAACAGAGGAATTCTGGCACTTTGGGAATCATGTTTATATAAGCATTAAGGAGCCTCACTTTGGGAGAAAAGTATGAGATGATGAAGGAGAAGAAAATGTGCCATCTAAGGGAAGAATACACTTTTATTTAGAATCTTAGGTACATTTTACAACTCATCTAAGACCTTTCAGTAAGCATTGTAATGTTTTCTTTTTTAAAGTATAATATACATGTGCTTTTTATTAGCTTTAGGTAATAAGACAGACCATATAACTGTTAGAAGAAATAGGCAAGGTGTCTCTGCACTGCACAAAGAGCAAAACTGAGGTTGATATAGCAACAATATTGTTCAGAAAATACTTTGATATTTAATTGTTGTATATATAAAACTTCGAAAGGTAAGAGTATGCAATCTGAAAATTTTATATGAGAAAAGAGAACCTGGCAGTTTTCCAAAACAAACAAAAAAAATGACTGTCATAGAATTGAGGTCTACAAAACTGAAGGAAATGCATTATTAATTTGAAACTCCTAAATGAATGTTTATTTTTAAAAATACAAGTTTTGAAAATAACTGTAATTCTTATATAACCAAGGATTAGTCCTGTTTAGCTTGTAAAAATTAGTTTACTACCATTGAAGATATGTGAAATAATATCTTTGTCACTATCATACTCAAAGAGTTTGGGGGGAAAATAAAATGGAAAATTTTTAAAGGTTAATCTGTTTTAGTTTTGCATTCATAAATGAAGAAAGATAACTCATGCCTTAAAAATCCTTCCAGTCAATTCCTAGATTTTCTTACTAGGGGGGAAAAGAGTTTCTCTCCTTCCTATTTTGTGTTCTTAACTTATATCCCAGGAGCTAAGGTTAGTATTATCATCTGGTAATTGGTACTTTTATGAATCTAAGGTAAATAGACCAGCCCATGCGCAAAAGATGAAATTCATGATGGATAAGGCTCATGTTGGAGATGATCTACTTCCTTGGGTTCAGTTCTGCCCTATCACTTTCTACCTCTCTGTAGATGTTTCCTCATTAGTAAAATGAAACATAGAAGAAATCACCTCCTCATAAAGTTCTTCAGACTTAGATACATGATATATGCACTTAGCAGAGCTCTGGGCAAGCAGTAAATGTCCAATAAATCTTAGTTGTAATCTATGAATATTTTAATGGAAGACTCATAGCAAATTCTAAATACTCCACTTCCCAGGCTTTCGGATCACAGCTTATCTGTAATCCTGTAGTTAGCTCTACACCATTGCATTTTCCACAGACATATTTAACCTTTACAGAGTAGTTCTCTTTTTAAGTTATACTCTGTTTCTCAAACTGAACATCTGAAATAAACTTCTACAATGGAAATTCAACTGATCACACTCTTCATCTTGGTGGAAGGAAGGGTGCAATGTATAACATATTGATTTGGTTACAGAAGCAATATAATTGAGCCTGAGTTACTATGCAGGCTTTGAACAGAATCAGCTTAGTTGGCATTTGTCCTAGCAATATCTATTCAAAAGACATTTATACTGTCCACCCAGATGGTGGAATAACTACTCTTTTGGTTGCCAGAGTAAAAGTAACCACTTTAGCCTACTTAAGCACTAAGACCAGGAGGAATTTATTAGTGTTAAGGAAAGGAATACTGGAAAACAGGACAACTTTCTTTTACAAAGAATGTCCAGCAGATTTTCCTGACATCTAACAGAATTTCTTATCTGCCAGTAATTTTTTTGTCTACCTTCTGCTACATAGCAACATAATGGATTAAAGTTGAGTTTCAGCTGAATTGAGGATACAGTAGACCTCAATTCCATGATTGGACAGTTCTAAAAATAGCTTGTTAACTGGTTTTATTTTTGCTATAATTACTTTTTCTTTATACACAAACGTAGTTTGACTATTTTTGTATATCATACTCTATAACAGTAATTCATTTGTATTTATATTTTTCCCACTAAAATAGTAGCTGGTTAAGGACAGGAGCTACTTATTTTTCACCTCTTTATCTCTGATTCCCCACGTAATTCCTAACAAATCCTAGGTTCATTATGATGATGAAAATAGTAATGAAACAGCAGGTGACATTTATATGCTACTTTCTATGTACTAGATATACTTTATGTTTACTTAATAATTTACAACTGCCCGACCGGTTAGTTGGGAACGGAGTGGTTAATAGCTTCACCAGAGTTTCCCAATAAGTAACCATGGTTGGGATTGGAACACAGACAGTCTGACTGGGATTTGTGATCTTTACCATATATTACATTGTCACATGTATTAATAAATGGTTATTTACCTAACTTAATGAATTTTAAAGTTTCACTCCCCTCTAGACCTAAGCTGCTCTTATCCTTTTTTTTTTTTTTTTTTAAGATTTATTTATTTTTTACTTGAGAGTCAGAGTTACACAGAGAGAGGAGAGGCAGAGAGAGAGAGAGAGGGAAAGAGGTCTTCCATCCGTTAGTTCACTCCCCAATTGGCTGCAACGACTGGAACTGTGCCGATCCGAAGCCAGGAGCCAAGAGCTTCTTCCAGGTCTCCCACGTGGGTGCAGGGGCCCAAGGACTTGGGCCATCTTCTACTGCTATCCCAGGCCATAGCAGAGAGCTGTCTTATGCTTTTCTTAAGTAGCATTTATTTATTTATTTATTTATTTTGACAGACAGAGTGGATAGTGAGAGAGAGACAGAGAGAAAGGTCTTCCTTTGCCGTTGGTTCACCCTCCAATGGCTGCCGCAGCCGGCGCACTGCGCTGATCCAAAGGCAGGAGCCAGGTGCTTCTCCTGGTCTCCCATGAAGTGCAGAGCCCAAGCACTTGGGCCATCCTCCACTGCCTTCCCGGGCCAGAGCAGAGAGCTGGCCTGGAAGAGGGGCAACCAGGACAGAATCCGGCGCCCCGACCGGGACTAGAACCTGGTGTGCCGGCGCCGCTAGGTGGAGGATTAGCCTATTGAGCCGCTGCACCGGCCAGCATTTATTTTAAGGAGTAATGTACATTGTTTTGTTTGTTAGAGTTGTCGTACATATTAATATAATTTTGATATGGTATTGAAATCTGGTGATTTTTTCCTTTTTTAACAAAGTAGAGACAGTAAGAGATCAACTATATGGCAAAGAGAAATTTCCTGGGGAGGAAATCTGTGCAGTATTCATGCCTGTTACTTATAGAGTTGCTGCTTCTATGAAGAGGGAAGAAGACAAAGGACCCATGTTAGTATTTTGGGCAGATGGAGCATCAGACAAAAGCTGGAAATGCTACACTCAGCTTTACAGCCTTATTGTACTGGATCCATGTGGCTTCCTTATAGGCATAATCTGAAATTGCTCAGCAGACAGTTGAGTTTTTATCTGACAGCTAGGGAGCAATGCTAGCATTTCTTGCTATTTTGTGACATGCCACATATATTTTAAAATTTAGGCCGTTAGTTTTAATAAATGAAAGAAACCAGTAGAGTATACTTTTTATTTTAGTAAAAATAATTTCAGTTCGTGGTAAAGAGAAGTTTTTTTTCTTGCGTGTCCTAAATCTTTAATAAGAATCAAGAAGCTTGGGGGAGAAATAAGTCTGGTAGTTTTTAATAATTAAGTCATAGTAGCTGTATTATTCCTCCTTTTCCTCTTAGTGTCCCCAAAAGTATACTTTCCTTGCTTAATTTACTTTCTGGGAAGAGCGAATACGGAGTGAGCAATAGGGCTGCTGTACTGATTAAAGGATTTACTTGCACAAACACTGTTGGGGCCTATCTAGTTGACTGTTTTAAAAACCACTGTTACAGTTTCATTTTGGGGGCTGGCATTGTGGCAGAGCAGGTGAAACCCACCATCTGTGATACCAGAATCCTACATAGAAGCTGCTCCACCTCCAATCCAGCTCCCTGCTAATGGCCTGGGGAAAGCAGCAGAGGATGGCCCAAGTCTTTGCATCCTTGCCACCCAGGTGAGGAACCTGGATGAAGCTCCTGGCTCCTAGCTTTGGCCAGTCCCAGCCCTGGCCATTTCAGCCATCTGGGAAGTGAACCACTAGATGCAAGATCCATTCATTCTCATCCATCTCTCTCTCTCTCTCTTTCTCTCTCTCTGTCTCTCTGTCTCTGTCTCTATCTCTGTCTCTCCCTCTCTGTAACTCTGGCTTTCAAAAAAACAGATAAATATTTTTTAAGAAAGATTTCACTTTGATCTATAACAGCACATCCATGCCGAGGGGAAGTTTAACCATTCTCATGGCTCCACTGTACCTGGGGACACTTTGAAAGAGTATTTTTATCAACTTGAACTTTTATATTTGTTTTCTCAAGACAAAACATTAAGTGAAAGCATTAAACAAACAAACATTAAGAACTTTCTTTGACCAAGCACTCCTCTCTCCTGAAAAATGTACATATTACCTGTTTCTTTTTTTTTAATTTTTTAAATTTTTTGACAGGCAGAGTGGACAGTGAGAGAGAGAGAGAGACAGAGAGATAGGTCTTCCTTTGCCGTTGGTTCACCCTCCAATGGCTGCTGCGAACGGCACGCTGCAGCCGGTGCATCGCGCTGATCCGAAGCCAGGAGCCAGGTGCTTCTCCTGGTCTCCCATGGGGTGCAGGGCCCAAGCACTTGGGCCATCCTCCACTGCACTCCTGGGCCAGAGCAGAGAGCTGGCCTGGAAGAGGGGCAACCAGGACAGAATCCGGCGCCCCGACCGGGACTAGAACCCGGTGTGCCGGCGCCGCAAGGCGGAGGATTAGCCTATTGAGCCGTGGCGCCGGCCAGTTATTACCTGTTTTTTAATAGCTGTTCTTGAGCTTTCTTCTGTTTCTAAATTTTTCTCTGCAGCTTTCCTGAACATGAAGGCTTTCCTTTTCTTTCCGTGACTAGCTACCCTTCTCTGAACCCCATGTGCCCTTGAGGGTGCCGAGATTTAGCACTAGTAATGCCAGCCTCTACAGATCGCATCTCTGTCTAGAGTTGGGTCTCCATGGGAATGAGAAGCAGAAAGTGCTGAGGTATTACACTATGTACGCACTGGCAGGAGAAAATAACGCCACGGCCTCTGCAGAAATAGCACTTAATCCCCATGGTGCGCAGAAGCCAGAGAGAAACATGCTGTGGTGTAGAGCAGGAGACCCTCAGTTAAGGACAAGACTTGGCAGATTTATTAGCAGCAATATTCTGAGATTAACCTAATTTACAGTTTGTAAGTGCTTTCTTCAGTTAGAAAAACCCGTTAATTTTTTTTCCCTTCTTCTGTTTCAGGAGGCCAGATGCTCCAGTGCCTGATGGTGAAAGTGAGAAAACTATAGAAGAAAGTTCAGATAGTGAATCTTCTTTCAGTGACTAAACTTAATTTTGATAAGAATTAAAAATCTATGTGTTAGGGGCATTTTTGCATTCTGTGAGAGAGCCTAAACTCCAACTCTTTTTCATAAAAATATTAAATGGCTGCATACCCACCACCAAGCTTCCTCTATGTTTTTTTAAAAAAGATAAACAAAGCATTTATAGCCTTCCAGTATATGTTGCTACCAAAATAAAGGACCCTGAAATGGAAAGGAGAGCAATCTAAATAAACGGCAACTAGGGCTACAAATACTAAGATGGGATATTTCAAGGAGGTAATGAGCATTTTAAAATGAAGTCAACCTGGAATCTGCATTTGGTACAGAGGTTATGACGCTGCTTGTGATATCCACAGCCCATGTGGAAGTGCCTGGGTTTGAGTCCTGGCTCCATTCCCCATTCCAGCTTCTGCTAATACCCTGGGAAGCAGATGATGAGTCAAGAACTTGGATCTACGCTACCACCTTGAAGAACTAGACTGAGTTCCAGCTCCTCTCTTCAGTCTGTCCCAGGCCTGGCTTTTGAGGGCATTTGGAGAGTGAACCAGTAGATGGGAGATTTCTGTCTGTCTCTGTCTCTGCCTTTCAAACAAAGAAATAATAATAGTTTTTGGTGAAGTCAAATAGTTCAGTGATCAAACATAGACTCAATGCAAAACAAAAAGCGAATTTGTATAAATGATTCAATTTTTGTAAATATTTTGGCATGAAAATACGTGCATTTGTTTCATAAATAGGTGACAGAAAAGACTGGATTGAACATTTTCTGTGACAACTTTACATGTACATATCATATGCATTATAGATATGGAACTTATTGGGTGGTATTTATTAGCATATGTAGCATTTCACCATTTGGTTATTAGTTTGTAATATTATCAAAGTCAAATAGGTAGTGTATTTATTATCAGATAGAAATTGAAAATAGCTGCAATGTGGTTCAGAGTGAGCAAGCATCATTGTCATCAACTCCTTTGTTGCCTAAACAAAACAATTTGTGCAGAGTAAAAATGTTCTTCTCATCTTGCAAATAATTCTTCCTAAGTAATATTGTATGCACAGTCTACATGCATTTGATTAATGGTGCTCATTTTAGTTTAGGTCGCCTGGAAATAGAAAAAGATTTGGGTACACTCAAATGTAGGTCACTTGTGAGGTAATCCTAGGAAGATAAAGGGAAGAAAGGGAGAATACCAGTATCAAGGTGTGGTATCATGGTTGTCATTTGGTGCTTGAGTGCTCCAAGACCTGAGAAGCTTACAGAATGCTCCCTGAATAGTCCACCTAATACAAGTGGCATCATTTGTTAACCAGTTTCCCATCCCCATTAAGTGAGATTTGCCTTCAGGGGTAATTAATTACCCCTGCATTTGTGGATTGTGCTTTTTTGTGGAAAGAAGGAAAAGAACCAGAACAGAAAACAGACCAAGAGGCATGGTTTATGCTTGCACTGCGATTTCCCCAATGAAAAATACAAGTCTGATCTCTCTGAGAACTATCAATGCAGCTGTGGCTGATAGCAGATGTAGACAGATGAGTGTGATGTGGGGCAAAGGCGGTGTTTGTTGTCTGTTACTTACTCAGAGCTATTTGAGTCTACTCCATTACCAAGTCTTTAAGGTGATATGCAGCACAATCTATATAAAATATATAGGAGAATTAGTGGAACAAGCTATAGTTTCTGTTGCTGCAACCGAACCTAGGCAAAAATTCTATTCATCATCTACTTTCATCACCCATTTTTAGATTTCTCTTGCTCTTTGCCACAAATTCAGCTGGTCTAGGTTGGTTGCCTGAAAGTGACTCAGACCTCCATCCCTTAAGGTATCTAGGACCCTGGTTACTTTGCCCTTTTTAGGATATGATTATCAAAATTGTCTGGTTTGTTGACCCCAGACATGGAAGCACCAAGACATACCCCAGTGAGTCACCTAACTTCCAGACATATTCTCCCTGGTTCATTTTGTAATCACAACCCAAGCACATCATGTTATTCAGCATATCAACTCCCTTTTTTTGCCCATTGTCCCACAGACATGAGCAATTCAAATGGACCAACTGGCAGCAATAGCTTCTGATTAGTGGAATCCTTACTGTGCTCTCTGGTGGAAGTGTGCCAGCTCCTTCCTCCTCTCCTGTCTGGAAACCAAGACTTCCAGAAAAGTCTAAGGTAGCAGGGATGAGAAGCACAATTATGCAAGTAAGTCACTGGGAATAGAAGTAGGAAGGGCCAATCCTACTTCTATCCTCTTGGTTCCTGTATCCATGAATTCTAACGATTAAAACAATGCATCATCTACTGGCCATTGGTGTATTGCATGTTTAAGCCACATCTTGGAGAAGAGCATCCTGCAGGATGTTATTGCTAAGCTGGTACCTACACTGAACCTGTAATACACCATTTCATTGTTTCCATTGTTCTATTAGATTTATTTCTTCTGGATAACATTGTATATGGTAGGACCAGTAGATCCAGTAATTCATTTGCTACAAAGTAGTTTTTACAGCTGAGGCAGTATAAAGCAGGATATCATGTTGGTAAAAGGCATTCTATAGACTATCCCATAGTACAGCTGGCACGGGAGCTGCTGGAAGAGAAGAAAAACTCACGTTAAAAGTAAGAATTATAGTAGGAAAGAATTCCTCCCTCATCCAGGGTGGAAGGAATTTGAGGAAGATAACTTGCTACTACGCAGCTGATTAATCTCTGCCTCTGTAGTAAATTCTTGGTCTCTGCTGCTGACAGGTTGAGTATGCAGCACTGGCACTAACTAGAGTAGCCGTAGTGAGAGGAAAACCTAACTGTTGAGCCCATCCATGCACAGCCTCCATCTCTCCACCCTGGTTACTCCACCCTTGGGCTCTTTGGGTGAGCCTGGCAGGATCAAGGTCAAGGATAACTATCTATTGAAGGAATCTTCCTGTCCACCTAATCTTCACCTCCTCATGAGTGGCCATGATACAAAAATCTTCACACTTTGTGCACACCGCCATAATTTTGTCCACTTGCCTCACCATCAGACTTCTGTCTAATCTTCCAGTCTTGCTCCTTCTGTTCTCCTGACCAACCAAGGTAGTTATTGAGGTCAAAAATCTGTGCTTGATCTTAACTCCAACCACATCTTTCTCCATCAACATGATTTCAAAGTGGACCATTTGGAACTCTGTTCACTGGAAAGATTTCCTCCTTGCCACTAATTCTTAGGGCCACATTTGTCACAGATAATAGTGTACTTGCCATTTTTGGCTCACACTGACATACCAACCTGGTCTCTCTATGAACAGGTCCCACATTTTCCCTTCTCTGTTAACACGTGTGCTAATATTGCAAAAAAAAAAAACAGCTTTAAATCTTCATTTTTCTCCATCTCCATGCTTTTTTCCATGTAATTTTACATCGCCCTCTAATTCTGGGTAGATCATTCTGCCTCACCTTTCGATTCTGAACTCCGAACCATATGATTCAGTTTGGACCAGAGAAATGTTAGCAAATATGATCTAAGTGGAGACTTGGAAAATATTTAGTTGATTACCTTGCCTTCTCTTTGTGTCTATGTTATTAACATTAAGAACATGACTGTGGGTGGGCAGCAGAGGGAAACATCTGTCTTAGCAGTTAGCTTATATGAATACCTGTGGTTAATCCCCAACCCTGGTTCCTGATTCCAGCTTCCCTCTTCCCAGACTCTGGGAAGCAGTAGAAATGGCTCAAATAATTTGGTTCTTTCTGCCCATGTCCAAGACCTGGATTGAGTTTCCAGATCATAGCTTCAGCACTCCCAGTCATTGCAGGCATCTGGGGAGGGAACTAATGAACCAGCAAATGGAAGCACTCTCAGCTTCTCAAGTAATTAAAAAAAAAAAAATCAGTAGAATAGTCCAGTGGTGGGTGAGGGACATGTGGAGCCGAGCTTAGTTGTTCCAATAACTCACCAACCAATACAAGACCAAACAGGATCAGAAAATCTGCGTAGCCAATCCTAGCTGGCTCTGAATGTGTAATAAATGCTTCTTACTGATTGTAATATTTTAGTGTGTTTATTATACCTCATTATTGTAGCCATCCATAACTAACAAAGCTGACCATAGAGACTTCTCTGTGAGATCATAGGAATAGGTTAAAGAGAAGCATTAGAGCAAAAGAGTTAATAATATAGGGGGTCAGTGATAAGCCACTTGTCACATGTGACTTCTGGACTTATATTTGACCACAAATGTATGATTTCTATCAATTGAGGGGTTGCCACTGTGACTGTGCAACCTTATGCTATGGTGTATTTGTTAATACCCAGATCATGAAAAGCAGCTCCAGTTAGTCATTTGATGTCCTCTATGGTCACATTCTCAGTTTCTACTGAGCACAGAGGCATGCCAGAGTTGCATTTCAAACAATGAGAATGCATGCCCTTTGCTCCTTATCCAAAGAGTCTGTGCTATTCATCTTTGGGACTTGCCAAGGATGCTACACAATGCTTTCTACCATAGTTAGCTCTTGCGTCAATGGTAACCTGAGTCATATAGCCTGAGAAGTAAGGCAGCTTTTATGACAGACCGAGACTGCGGCAGAGGCAGCCCTCCTTTGCTCTGGCCACCTCATGAAATTGACATCCCTGCAAGTCACCCTGTAAATGGATCAAGGCAATATTTTTGAGAAAGTATATGTTGCTTTCAAAAGCCAAAGACATCTCCAACATGCTGCCACCTTCTTATAGAGGGTGCAGGTTCAAGAACTTATACTTTACCTTCAGGGGGAGATCCCAGCATCCCCCAGGCTATTCGACACCTAAAATCTGCAGGTATTTGAATCTTCCATCCTCTGGCTGTGTGCCTCTAATAGAACATGAAGAGCCTTTTGTACTTCTTGCTCACTGGATGTCTGATCAACATAGAGAACCAGCACAGAGCTCTGTGGAATGTCAGGATGAGCAAGATCCCAGCAGACAACACACACACACACACACACAGAGAGAGTGAGCGCACAAAAGTAACATGGTCCTGGGATGACCAGGTTAATAACTACTGTTGTTGTCACACAAATATAGTCATGATTGGTATTCTTAATGACTGGGGAAAAAAAAAAAAACTTTGCCAGATAAACAGCCACATACTATTCAGAG